CTTAAACTCTACTCCTATTTATAGCAAACACTATATAAGCCTGTAGCAGTAGGGTCTTTTAGGGTCTACGAGATGCTAGTATGCCTTGCCAGCGACAACGGGATTACCGGGCCATCGGTCTCCGAAGAGGCCGATATCCTACTACGCAGTAGGGCTAACTCCAATGACTATAAAGCAATCTAATCCTAAGTTTAATTACCACTGATCAGTAACATGCTTAAAAACGTACGAAGTAGTTCCGTGCCCCTGATATCTGCTAGGTCTTTGAAGCAGTGCGAAATGCTCATAGTAGCCTTGGTGTTAGCATGACTGAGTGCCATCTTAGCTATCTTCAGATATATGTAAGAGCGGAGAGAGCAGTTGAGCGATTTTCCTCTAGCCTGGATACCTGCTGCGCCTCTTATTCCTGGTGGGGGCTGCTTCGTATAGGTGAGAGAGAGTTGCCATGTCTTGACAAGCATGCTTCAATGGACAAGTAAGTGTGCAGACAAACCACTTGCATGAGTGATTCCTTCCATCCTTCGCTAGGCCTTCTAGAGCCGTCGCTCGGGCGATCAAGAGACCAGTCACTCTTTCGGGTTGCATTAAATCAGGCAACCATTTAGGGGATCGGATCATAAATCTTGTCTGCTCGGAAAACGGGGTTTGCTTCGCTAAAGCCGAGATCAATAAGCGCTTGTCTAGCATGATCAGCTTTCCTTCTGCACTAAAAAAGCTTATTTTAAACACAGCCCTGTTTCAGCTATATCGTTTCAGGCATTCAACTCCTACCGGCAACTGAAAAAATCCATTTATATCCTTGCTTGGACCCCGCGCTGAATCCTTCACAATCCTTCACTCCCGGATACTCCGTGCGAGAAATTGACTACAACCACATTCGTCTCATTTTGAACATAGTTTGTGCTAATGCACACTTTAACAAGGCGTACTTTGCGAGTTGTAGGATTATCGCCCCCACGTTGTCTATGGCTAAACAGGCAGGTATTCTGTGGAAGCCTAGTCTTGCTGCCTCTGAGTCTCGGTCTCAACTCCTGCAGGAATTGGCTCCCGGTTTTCTGAATAGAGCATTCCTGTAAGAGCGATTGTAATGGAGGCCCTAACGATTTCAGGGCACTCATCATGCAACGTGAGGCTTAGCAAGCAAGCTGCGAACTCATGAGAATAGAAATCGACTTGTCCATCATGTGATAGCTTTGGGCCCTTACAAAGGATAAACGTATTTAAGATGGGCTTCCCTCTCAAAATTGGAAAGCTCTCATCATTGCATCACTGCATCCTCTTCTGCATCCTTTTCTTGACAAGTCATTGACAGCCAAAACAATCACTCTTCTTCCCATCCTTCACCATGCGCTTCGACAAAGTTGTTCCCTTCGCCTTCGTGTCTTTTGCGGCTGCGATGCCCGCAAAGCGTGAGCCTATTGACGAGCGTGCTCTTCATAACATCCTCGGTGATCTCGAAGCTCGAGGCGAGACTCTCGACTCCCTCGTCAAGCGCATCGACGCAAAGGTCTATCGCGACGAGATTCCTGATTGCAGCAGTGAAGATCCCAGCTTCATGATTCCCAAGCAGACCGGCTATGGTGTTGACCAAGGTGTGAAGCTCCCTAAGAGCGGCAAAGATGACGCATGTACTACAGGCCACAACAGTGATCATTGCTGGACTGAGTACTGGTTCGTCGAGTCTGCTGTCGAGTATTCTAGCTGGCAAAATTCTGGAGCGGCAATTGACTGCAAGTCGACTTCTATCTGCAACTCCAACGTCGCTCAAATTAAACAGAGCTGCACTTCCTACACTCATTCTTCCAGCAACGGTGTTGATTTCAAGGCCCTGGATGCAGCCTTGGAATTCGCTATTCCGAATACTGAGGCGAAGGTCTCGTTGGGATCGAGCATCAACTATCAACACACGGACGTGAATAGTGATACGACCATGATTTGCACCACTGATTCGACTACCAAGTAAGTAGACACATACTCTGCGTGCCCTAAACCTTCTTGCTGACTATGAGGATTCAGCACCTGCCAGTGGGATGATCAGGACTGCCACCAGGTCTGGTTTGCCGACCGTACAAAGCGAATTTGGGGCCACATGGATCGGGTTTGCGTCGGAAAGACTGATGTTGGTAAGTGCAAACAAGATGTCTCGGCAGATAAATGTGAACTGACAGACACGTACAGAGGTTCAGCAGCAAACCCTCAACGCCAATGGACGCTATGTTCGCGGCCAGGCCGAGTTCAGCATTGCCATTCCTGTCAACCACATTGTCGGCTGCAACGCGAAATGCTCCGACCTGACATACAGCGAGCCTATTCCGTCAGATGGAACTGTCCGCGTACCTTTCGATATCACCTTCGACTAGGTTACTTGCATGTCGATATTGCTGAGGACTTGTGAAGTGATAGGAGAGAGACAGTAGATTGGCAGATTGCGCTTATGCCTAGCCAAGTAGAGAGTTTTAAGACATGACTTTTGTTTATTTAAGACTTTTTAAATTGCTATAGTATACGTATAAATAGCCTTAATAAGTTAAGTGAGGTCCCTACCTATAACTAAATTCACTATTCTGTAGTATAATCTTTTCCATTGAGCTCACCCTTTCAACCCCATTTGGCTGGTATCGTAGCCATTCTCCTCCAAATAAGCTTTGAAACGAGCGTCCTCCTCTTCGAGCGTCTTGGGATGCTGAATGACATGTTAGTACCACTACAAATCAATTTGGGGATTTGGAGAAGCGAGCTACATTTGGGATCAAGAACCAAACGCACAGAACTCCCACTGCGGAAATAGCACTACCAATGAGAAAAACAACTTGCTGTCCCTTGAGCTTGTCGTCAAAGCTGACGAGACACTTGCTCAGCGCCTGGGTACCGACCGCAGCACCAACCTTACCAATGGCCGCGGCAAACCCAAGAAAGTGGCCTCTCAGCGGCGTAGGAAAACTTTCGCTGCTGACTAGGAAGTTACAATCTCCAGGACCTACAGACAAAAAGGTTTGGAAGAGTCCATAGAGCGTGGCAAAGGCTGGGAAGGCTGAAGGGCTGTTGAGAGGGTACATGGTGCCTCCGATGACGAAGCCAAACACGCAGACTATAGACCAGCCAAATGCATACGTTTGACGGCGGCCAATACGGTCCATGACTAGGGCTCCGATGAATGCACCGGGAAGTGCGAAGAAGTTGATCAGTGCTGACCAGCCAATAGACTCTTGCATCGTCTGATTGTCCGAGAAGCCTGCGACTAGAGTTGGTGCCAAAAGATTGAAAGGGTACACCACGGCGTCGTAGAGGAACCAGGCAGAGCAGCAACCAAGAAGAGGCTTCCAGTAATACTTTATGGCAAGCTTGTATGGTATCTTGTGCTGAATGGCATGCCTCTTATACTGTGTGGAGTCCATCAAGCGAAGGCGGAAGAAGAAGATGCCCAGTGGAAGCTTATATAAGTGAGTCCTGGATATCAATTGGTGCAGGAAGGAAGACTCACAATGATGCCAATTCCGAAGCAGATGCGCCAGATGCCATCGTGGGGAACGCCTTTATACGCGGTAATGACAATGAGAGACACGATACTCGAGGCCACGAAACCGGAGATAATGGCAGCGTTTGTGGCGACAGCAACAAGCATACCACGTCGCTTTCGCATAGCCTCGGTACTATCGGCGCACTCTACGGCTTGCGAAGTGCACACGGTATACTCACCACCTAAGAAGTTAGCAACTCATGACGAGCTTTGATGCCATTGTAGGGACCCAACAGACATACCTGCTCCAACACCAGCGACACCGCGGCCGATTACCATCATCCAAAACATACCCTCCACAGTGACGCCATGTGCTGCAGTGGCGATGACGATACCCTACGCTATTTATCAGACTTTGCTTCTGAGTGGACACAAAGATACATACCAGAACCAAGAATAGCGTTGTCAAGTATATTCCAACACGTCGACCGAACCGGTCAATGCAGAGGCCAAAGAGGAGCATACCGAAGATGTCGCCAATGAGGATAGAGTTGGACAACCTGGTCTTGACTTCGGCCGTCATCTGCTTCGGGTATCTATAGTTCGTCAACAACTGAAGGCATCAGGTGAGGATAGTTGTATGACTTACAGCTTGGCTAGAACAGTGTTCATGTACCCGATGATCTGGATGTTGTAGCCATCAGAGAAGAGAGCAACTCCCTGGACCAAGACGTCGAGCTGAGTAGGCGTACGCTGAACAAGTTCATTGGTCTCGATCTCAGCAGAGATGCTCTCATCTGACGATACGATGATGGTCTTGTCTCTAGGCATCTCGTTCTTGTTGTCGTCAGACATGGCTGAACCTCAAACGCTGCAAGAGCAGAGGGAAGTGATAATCGTGCTGACGGACTACGCAATGTAACAAGTAGGCAGAGTCCAGGTCTTATATAAACTCTGAATCCTTCAATGCAACGTAGTTCTAAGGCGTCTGGGTGTCCATCGGTGACATCAAGCCCTCTACCGAATTGTCCAGACCATATCCTGTCAAAGAATCTATGGTGCTACACGAATGGATAAAATCATACCCAAAGTTCTCCGATATTACAAGGAAGAATGACAGCATCAACGACTTGGACACAGTCAATAAGCACGTGGGTTCGGCCAACCCAAACAACCGGGTTTTACGTGCCGGTGATAATGGAGCCTCAAGCCGTTAGTGGCGCCGTGTAGACATCTTGGCCCGGCAGTTGGGTTCCGTATAAAGTGGATCGTTCACCGCACGTGGGCTGGGTAAGCTTATCGAAGAGGTAAGACCTTAGGTTAACTCTGATTAAATTGACTTTGGATGTAACGAAGGATTTCGGGGTCCACTTTACTAGGAGATAGGATCATTCTATTGAATCAGGATCCTGGGTGTCTTGGTGGATAGCGAGAAAATAACGGATGCAACCCCTTGTTATCACTGTGATAAAGCATCCATGTTTAACCAATATATTCCCCTTAGAGAGAGGGAGACTATGAGAATCAAGACAACAGGAGAGTAGAGCCATGATTAACTCGTCGCTGGTAGTAAATGTACTCGACGCTGTGATTGCAGCTGCGTCATTCACCTTGCGCTCTACTTCAGTTCTGTTTGTCCGTTTCGTAAGTTCATTCCCTACGATTATCGATGGTCACCTGTTGACATGTTACAGCACCCCATCGGGAAACGATATCTGGATCGAATCTATGGGAGCTTTATCATATTTCTGATTGCATTCAGCGCAGAGCTAGCTCTGCTGAAATACAGCAAGCCTCGGCTCAAAAGACACATAATTTCCGCCCCAGTGCTTGCTATCGTTGATAGAGGCAGGCCTTTGTTCACGTTGAGCGGCTTCCTTATCAATTTGGCGTGTCTTGTTGCTGTTCTCGACTTTCTCTTCAGAGGCCAACTTCTGCATCAAAGTGATGAATTGTTCTTCTCTCGTATGGGGTTTGTTGATCACTCGACGGCTCGGATTGTATTGAGGGCCCCTATCTCCGATTATGTTGAGATCCGAGTCACTTCAGGTTATGATGAGCAAGCAGGCACCGAAAGACTCATATCCGTCTTATTGAGTCCAGATTCGGATTATGTCGGGACAGCCCTTATAGAAGGTCTCAAGCCAAACACTTCTTACACATACTCAACCAATGCAAGCCATTCTGGCTCGTTTCGAACCTTGTCTCAACCAGGCACCGGGCTGAAGCCTTGGAGTCTTGTTTCATCAAGCTGCATCAAGCCATTCTACCCGTACAACCCTTTAGACCATGGTCTTCGAATCAAAGGGCTTGAACACCTAAGCAACTACCTTTCAGAGAGTCCAGTGGATATGGTACTATTTCTCGGCGACTTTATCTACATCGATCTCCCCATTCCGTTAGGGTGGGATGCTGATGCATACTCGGCGGCATATCGCCAGGTATATGCCTCCCCTTCCTGGTCTTCTCAGCTTCGTTCAACCCCTTGGATACATGTCTATGACGATCACGAGATTATCAATGACTGGGCAGGTAATGACACGGGGCTTTACAAGACGGCGATGCAGCCATTCTGGAACTACCATGGAAACGCGAACCCACTTTCAGAGTATGGCGCAGACAAGACGTATTATACCTTTCGATATCAAGGAGTAGCATTCTTTATCCTTGATACCAGGCGATATCGGTCCGACAATGCAATGGCTGATGGGCCCGAGAAAACAATGCTCGGTGCAGCCCAGCTTGCTGCTTTGAAAGAGTGGCTCACATCCGAGTCTGATTGGAAAGTCGTAGTCAGCAGCGTGCCTTTTACGAGGAATTGGAGGGGACCAGACTCGGCGGACAGTTGGTCAGGCTTTCTCTGGGAGCGGGATTCTATTCTGGATATGATGAAGCAGAACGGCGGCGCTGTTATTCTCAGTGGTGTAAGCTTACTTCGTCACGCTTAAATGGGGGAAGCTAACGCATCATAGGATCGCCATGAACATGCTACAACATTGTTCCCTGCAAAGGCCAAAGGTGACAAGCCAGTTATCGAGTTCTCCACTTCGCCATTGAACCAGTTCTACGAACCGTTCGATAGGTTTCACAAGGAGATAGAGGACACTGATGTGTCAGTTTACTCACATCCCTGGGGCTCTTCGAAATTCGGAAAGGTCACGTTTGACACTACACAAGCAGGCAGACTACTTGTCCATTATGACCTAGTTGTAGATTGTGTCAAGGTATGGGGATACGATTGGGAATCTCAACGATATTAAACGTTTCGCGTTACAAACAGGGAATTGCATGTATGTAAGACTACTGGATAACTGTAGACCAGTCTTCACTTCTGATATACTCCTCCATCGACGTGACCGGGATCTTAACCCCAAGCTGGTCAGGACGCAGCACTGCTGGATCTCCACCAGATAAACCGAATTCATGGAAGTAATCGAAAGCATCCCCAATCTCATTGGCAAAGTCCTCTGGAACGCCTTCGAACAATTCCTCTCGTGAAATCTCCTTGTACGTCGCTTTCACGCCATTGACACGTCCCCATGTCTCCACCCATTCAGGCAAGGTCACCTCCTCCGAGACGCCCAGAATATGTTTGTTAGGCGGCAGGTCAACCAAGGCCTTGACAAAGCTACCTGTATCTCTCTCTGCGACGATGAACGGCATCTTGAAATCCGACGGTGTGTTTCTGGCCATTAGATAACTACCATCCGGCTGAAGCTTGGGAGCTAGTCTGTCAAAAAGCTTCCAGACTGTAACGTAGTGCCCGATAGTCACAGTGCTCATTCGGGCTGCTACTTCCGGGAAACTTTCCTCAGTAGCCTTGATCATTGCGGCTTTGCTGTCAAAATGATAGACCTTTGTGTACTTCCCCCCACTCCACTTGGTGGCGTGGCTAAGTGTTGACATTACGAAGCGCTCTAGAGTCTTGATGACCGAGGGCTCGGCTGCTGCTTCTGCGATTCTGATGCCTTGAGCCACTTCTCGATCATAGGAGTACTCGAGGGTCGTACGGTTCTTTGTTATATCGGGTTGGGCCATTGCTTGCTGAAGATGGGTAAAGAAATCAGTGTTGGAGAAAATAACGTGAGCACCCTTGAATGCCTGGACCAAGGATTCCTTATCATCTAGATCGCCTTGGACGATCTCAACACCTTCGGACCTGAGCCCCTTCGCGGACTCTCCTTCAGGGTTGCGTGTGACGCCGCGGACATTCCATCCGTGGAGCTTGAGGAATGTTTGAGCCACGGATCCTCCCTATACATGTTAGAAAGTTGTTACCTGATTTAATCTTTCGCATACCTGAGCTCCAGTAACCCCTATGACAACAATGGTCTTGGACATGGCTTGGTAGATTGCTTTTGATGTTGATAGTGCTATGCGTCAATGCATGAATTGGATTTCGAGTCTTCCCATTCCGACGTTGCTTTATATTCATTCTCACTTAGCGCATTACTAGATCGCTCTAGGAATGATAGAATATTACAAATAATTTCAGGTGCTCGTCCGTCGTCAAAGTCCGTGGCTGTCACTCACAACCCAGACAATTATATATTGGTCCGCTATCAAAGTCCGTGGTTATTCTATTTGACTTGAATTGACACGGCCTGATTGGCTATTAGTTATCGCTAGTTCATCAACGGCACAACCCAATGTCCAGAAGGATTTAAAATGTCCGCTCGGCATAGTTAATTGTCCGTCAGTCCAGGTGCTTTTAGTCAGCGTAAGCATCGCTAGAGTAGGTCATGTTTTTGTGGTCAAAGAATTCGTCACGCGACTCACTTCTTACGAATACAATGGACTTACATGTTTTAGTCTTAGATGATATGATACCAAGCACAAGGCCATTGATGAGCGTGAGCAACGCTGTAGGATGAAATTATCCCACTGACGTGCCCAGCAGTTCGCTTCTTGGTAGTAGCTGTCACAAGTGCTGTAATTGGCTAGTGGGCCGCCAGAATGAGGGGAATGGATTGATCATCTTTGCTCGCCTACTTGCTTCGACTGCCGTGACAAGCACATTGAGAATATTCATGCAATTAAAGTTCAATAATGCGCGGGCGCTTAAACTCGCGGTTAGTATGACGTTCTGATGTTTACAAGGCGACAATTAAGAGACTTCTAAGGTGAACATGCTACGGAACCACATTGCTGGGACGGATTCTCCAATCATCTTGGCTTTGCAAGCGCCCGGGGGTTTTCGGATAGCTTCTAAGCGCTTTACAACCCCCACCATGCCAATCGATGTGACTTGGAAAAACTAAATGTTGCTCTCGGCAATGTCGCAATCAACAGAGTCCATCTTGCTATATTATTTTGGGCAATCAAAGGGCCCAGTCCCCGCCAATACCATTTGGCGGTCGCGTGCCAACAATCGCGACAGCTGATGAGAGAGGTTGCTTCAGATTAGGTAACGCAGGGTATAATTGGAATGAACAAAAAGAAATCCAACGCTAGAATTACCTATTATGCCCTGCTCTATTTATACCTGTCATGACTTACACTATCGGACGGCAGCTCCGCCGATATCATAGCTTCGTGACTATCAAGCTCCCATGGGTGCAATTGCGGCTGCATCTGAGGTCCCTTGGCCTCCTCTTCCCTAGCAGCAGCAGCGATACTTGCCTGCTTAGCCCTCCTCGCCCGGAGTATAAACCAACCTAGTGCTGCTAATCCAACAAGAGCCACAACTCCAACGCCAGCTCCAATGCCTGCCTTGGCTCCAGTACTTAATCCTCCATTATCCGACGATGATTCACTTGAAGACTCGCTTGTCGAAGAAGAAATCGTTTCTGTCGCGCTACCCGTTGCAGAAGTTCTTGCTCCAGTCGTGGTGGACGCGAAGTCAGAGGAATGCCATCGGATGGGAATACCAATTGCATTGGCTGCTGCGCCGCTAACAGTAGTCCTCTTCCAATCTCCTCCGACAACTGATTCGGAAACTATCACCTCCACCGTACGTGGGATCGCGATGGTGCAAAGATCAGTGCTGTACCAAGGCCAGCCTGACTCTGTCTGACAACTAAATGAACTGCATCACCGTCAGTACGCCCGTGAATAGCAATTGGCTTTCATACCTTGGACAACACGTCGCTCTCGTCTCGCCGCCGACCGTCGAACTGCATGCGACTTCATATCCGCTGGGACATACACCAGGAGAGTAATAAAACGTCGAGCCGAGTTCCAAGCTGCTAGGAAAGCAGTTTGCGTCGCTCCCTGAAGGACCCAGCTGCATGTAGGTACACGCACTGGGCGCACCGGTGCCGCCTTCTAGACATGTGAGTTCATCGCCTGTGTATCTGTACTTGTAATACTGAAAGCATGACTTGTCGGGCGTGAAGGTTGTTGTGAGAGCTGGAGCTTGTGTTGTCATGGCTGCTGACTGTGATGCGCAAGTAGGTGATCGACTCGAGTGGGGATGACAGAGGGAGAAAGAATTTGGCGATGGATGCCCCCTTGCGACGAAAATAAAATGACACCTGATCCTGCGACCAACGCGGCTGTGTTGGACAGGGATGGTTATTGGGTGAGATGCAGGTTGGGTTTCACTTTCTACCAACATCGTTGACTAACTCATACCCTTGTTGGTGTTGGGCGGTTAAATAGAGAATCAATTGGTGGACTCCGGGTAATCATAAGAAGGATTTTAACCTCTTCCATATAACCAAGAGAGCCAATTCGCGATATCACATTTATTTGTCTTGCCTAGCTAATTGTCTTATTGGACCTTCCCTCTCGAGTCAACCGGCCAGATCTCCTCAATAACCCCATTGCGATGAGCATAGTAAAAGTCGTGAAGATTGACAGTTGGATCAATATGACTTGGAATCATCTCAACTCTATCACCAACATCAAGCGCCGGTGTACCCTCCTCCCAAGTCAAGGCTCCATGCTCATCGCCCAGTTGGAAATAGCTATATCGCTGGTCTTTGCACTCAGCAAGACCACTATCCGTCGTCAAAGACTTGAGGCCAGTGTCGATTGTGACCTGTCGCTCTCCTTGCTTGCTGACAACCGTTGCGAGGAACGATAGACTGTGGGAGTAGTATGTTCCTATGGCATTGCGGTAGTCGGTATCCATGAAGATGAATGAGCCTGGTTGGAGTTCTGTCACGCCGGGTACAGTTGCGCAAAAGTCCGCTGTGCCAGTTCCTCCTGTTGTCACAACTTCGATGTTGAAGCCCTCGTCCTTGAGTACTTGTGCAGTATCGGTGAGGATCTTCATTGATTCGAGGCATTGTTTCTTGCGATCTTCAAAGTCGGGAAGATGTTGGAGATGACCCTCGTAGCCTTGTACTCCGATGAGTCGCATGTGCTTCAAAGTGCCGATGTGTTTTGCTAGAGGAATAGCTCCCTCTGGTTGGGTTCCTGTGCGGTGCAATCCGACATCCAAGTCTATCAACACCGAGATGGGGTCCTCAATTTCTGACTTTTCTAGCGCGTCGTTGATAGCCGTCGCAGCTCTCCCATCGTCCACTACGATTCTAATCTCCCGATGCTTTCTGAACAACTCGACAAGTCTCTTGACTTTAGCTGGTCCGACAATCTCACAAGTGATAAGAAGGTCTGTGAACCCAGCAGCAGCAATCGCCTCAGCCTCACTCAGCTTCGCGACGCATCCACCTTTAGCACCAGCAGCGACAAGCTTCTTGGCCACGATGGCGCTCTTGCTCGTCTTGAGATGGGATCGAATATTCCGTCCTGTTGGAAGTAGCCGGTCCATGAGTTTCTTGATGTTGGCCTCCATGACATCGAGGTCGACGACCATGGAGGGCGTGTCGAGCGAGTCGAGGCTGTCGCCTACTTTGGGCGAGTACATGATGACGGGGATGATGATTGAGCTGATACGGGCAGACGGACAAAGAATAGTGTCTTTTGGAGTGACACTTGGGATATCTCTCGGCTTCAATTCTGGCTTCCTTTGTTTATCGTTATCTCCATTACCAGGATCGTCAGTCGAAGGTAACGTTGTACAATGCGGACACAACACAGTGCGTTATTTTCCCCCGCTTCTCCCAAACCCGCTGCGGGGTGCTGATCCTGCCTCTTTATAGCCCAGACCCACTGACGCTCCCCTCTGAAAGCAAGAAAACATCAGGCCAACCTTGATACAGGGTATCAAAACAAACAATAAAAAACATCCTAAACTTATACTAATTTACATCCAACTTTAGCTAAATTTACCTAAATATTGTCATCCTTTAGGGTCAAAGTCATAAGTTTCCTTGCCTCTCCTAGTCTCTCTCACAGGAACCAGCGAAATTCGGGCACGGCTGGCCCGTCGCGCAGACGCTTCGTCGGCACATCAGCAGCCGTAGTCTTCCTCCCCGCTCTACGATTCCGTCGCATGTTATCAAAGACCATATACCCACCAAGAAGACCCGCAATGAGGCATCCACACGCGCCGAAACAAGCAGTCGTGATAAGAGCTGTGGGGTACTTGGGTTTCTCGTTCTCGCGAAAGATGTTGCTTGATACGAGACCCATGAGATTGGCGAGCGGGACGCCGACTGAAGTGAGGACTACTCTTCGTCCTTCATGGGCAATATTATTGTTGTACCACGTTGATAAGAGGACGGAGGGAGCTGATGTTCCCCAGACCATCATGAAGCATGCGTAGTATGCTAACTGCAATTGAGCTTGGACGTCGGAGATGGCCGCGTAGATGATGAAGCCGATGAACGTAAGGGCAAAACCGAGCATGATAAAAGGGAAGCGGATACGTAGAAAATCAGAGCTGAAAGCCAAGATGAGAAGCATCACAGCCCCGCCAACATTCGGCGCAACTGTCATGTCGCGTTAGTGGAATATCATAAGCACGATGCAGGCGTTTCTTACCAGTGTAAAGATTCGTCTTGACAGGTCCATATCCCAATCGCTGAATAATCTGAGGCATAAACAGCGCAACCGATTGAATTGGCACACCAAGACAGATCTCAATCAACAGGAAGCAATACGTCGTCGGGTACGTAAAGATCTTGATTGAATCTTCAAAATTGAACTTTTCCTGCACGACAGATGAAGAATCGACTTGCATGCGATGAAAAGCCAGCGCTTTTTCTTCTTCGCCGAGAAACTTGGCTTGCGCTGCGCTGCGAGGGAGATACCAGAATGCAAAGATTGAGAAGAGAACGGATGCTGAGCCTTCGATGATGAAGAGATATCGCCAGACGAAGATTTTGGAGTCGATTTGGAAGACGCCAAATGATAAAAGCCCGCTCTGTTGTTGTCAGCCGAAGACCTCATTTATAGAGCAAGGCAACGTACAAAAGCATTTGCGATATTAGACGCAGCGTAGAACACCGCCAACCGACGCGCAAGTTCACCTCTCCGATAAAACGTAGTCAAATAATAAATCACCAAAGGGAAGAATCCCGACTCGGCCATGCCAAGAAAGAACCGCAGCGCAAACATGCCACCAAAGTTCTGCGTACAAGCAGCAAGCAAAGTCATGGATCCAAAAGTAAACATGAGAATCGGGAGGACGCGCGCAGGACCGTATTTCTTGCCGATGATGGCGGTGGGAGGAGCAAAGATGACGTAGGGCACGAAGAAGATTGATACGAGGAGGTTGTATTGGTTTGGCTTGAAGTTGAGATCTGTTGCGTGTTAGATTGTGGGTTGAACGATGGGGAGTTTGGGGACGGACCGTCGCTGAGACCGACGGTTTGGGCGTTGCCTAGGTTGCCTTTGTCTAGGGCGTTGAAGAGGTCTATTGATGGTTAGATGATCCGGTGAACAGTGAGGTAGAGGGTCTTACACATGAGGGCCAGAACGGGCATCAAGCGGACGTCGAACTTGCGACAGAGTTGACGCTCAGCGATATGGTCGACTTCAAGAACGGTCTCCTCTCCAGTGCCTTCGGCGTAGGTGTCGTCGATGATGCCATCGTCTTTATTGTCTTTGGCGCCCATGGCGATCAATTGTCTGTCAATCAACGGTCCAAATTGGCTGCGACTGATTCTTGGTTTCTTGCACGAGTTAACGAGAAAACTTCTCGAAGCAAGCGGCAGAGCTCAAGTTTTGTACAATGTTCAATATCTTGTTTCTTATCTCACCGTCGCATAAACTGGATATGCGGGGGAGACAAGATACAGGTTGCAAGGGCTTAGATTCGGAGGTTACATACTCAATGCACCTATCAAGATAGCGATACCCTGCAATCATCTAACAGCTGACTCGAAACACAGTGCTACCAGCATAAGCGTAGGTTACCATCTCACACGAGGTTGGTGCTCCCTCCATGTAACGTAGAGCGACGATCTCAACCCAGTGCGACTTGATGAATAGAGACTGTGGAGGTTCCACCGGATGCCCGATTTCGGAAACCCGTGCAAAAGGGCCGGGCATGAAATAAACCTCCGAAGCTTAAAGACACCATCGTCACTCACAAGCAGCCATCGGCGTATCTTCATATCATCGATTCAACCACGAATTATTGTCTGGATTGAAACATCATTTTGAAATATGAGCAATCAACCACCTTATCCCCTGCACGAGTCAGTCGTTGACAGGATTGATCCCGAATATGCAGCTTTTTACAACAAACACATCATCGACAAACAGCAAGTGCACCTCCAACCAGTAGAAGCATCGCGAAGCAGTGGTATCCTCATCCCCGGCAGTGGTCCTCTTCAACCAGTCGCCAGTACAGTCGACTACTCCATCAAACGCAAAGAGAGTCAAGGCCCCGATGTCAAGGTTCGGTGCTTCACTCCAATTGGCGACAAGCCAGAGAATGGATGGCCTGTGTGTATTTACTACCACGGTGGCGGTTGGGTTCTCGGCACAATAGACACTGAGAATGTCATCGCGTCGCATCTTTGCGCGAGGGGGAAATGCGTCGTCGTGGCTGTGGATTACAGGCTAGCACCCGAGGATCCGTTCCCTGCGGCGGTGCATGATTCATGGGAGGCTGTTCTTTGGGTCATGGGCGAGGGTAGGGAAATTCTTGGTCTGGACATTTCAAAGCTGGCGACAGGTGAGAACAACTCCATTGGGGTAACGCTGTTCATGCTAATTGAATGATATAGGCGGTTCTTCTGCTGGTGCCAACTTGGCAGCTATAATGTGTCAACGAGCAGCTGATCGAGGATCCCCCAAGTTCTCCCTCCAACTCCTCTCCGTACCCGTGATGGACAACACCGCCGATATAACCAACAACGTCTCATGGAAGGAAAACCAGCACTCCCCAGCTCTTCCAGCCCCGAAAATGCTCTGGTACCGACACCACTACCTCCCCAATAAGGAGGATTGGGGGCATCCCGAAGCTAGTCCGCTCTTCTGGAAGGGAGACTTCTCGAAATTGCCGCCTGCTTGTTTCGTCGTCGGTGAACTCGATGTACTGAGGTCGGAGGGCGAGCAGTTTGCGAA